TAACTGAGTTCGTAACGATTACAGCCGCAAAATTTCTAATTCTTTCACAATCTGGTATTCATATCACGTCTTCTTCCTAAGCATCCTGATGTTTGGAATCGATTATGTACTCTACGACATCCCTAATTGTAACTTGTAAGTAGTAAAATGAACGATAAGATAAAGCTCGCTAATCGCACTTCATAGCTCACGAGCTTTGTTATAAGGAAGGAATTGGACACACATACATAGACAAGGGAAATCCTAGCAATAAACTGGTGAACTGATGAATATTGGCCTGATCATTTTTACGTTTGAAATACTCTCGAAGGCAAATAAAAATATCACTTGCGAATACACCTCTTACAACTTCGAAAACTGAATTTATTTTGATATGACGGGTGCCAAACAGTACATCAAAGCAAAAGTATAATATATAGCAGTTCATAAGAATCGGATAGCTATAATCCATAGCCCATATATTGGACAATTCCAGTCCATATGGTATTTTTTTCATATTTTTGGCAATTCCTGATGGTAGAGTCATAGCTACCAATCGATCTATAAAAAGAATCCAGCTAGTTACATATTCTGCCGAAAGTGACTTTCAATATAGGGCCAGCGTTTCACACGGATAAAGGCAGAATGAATTGCACTTCAACATTAAATAAAATTGACATCGCATACATTGGATTTCAAAACATATGTCATTATAAAATATATTTTTAACGTTGTAAAGTAGTACAATATAGAAATTCAGGCAACAAATCGTTGCAAAATTATGTTAATGAATGGTAACTGACAAAAATTGTGGATTTGTCACATAATACTACTTCACATGTCAGCACATTTGGGATTGTTGAAATATGTTATTCATGAGAGATATGTTTTTATCTGGGTGTTATGTTTATCTGAGGCTTATAAAACACCAATGTCTTTGTATTCGAAAGCCCGTGATTATATCGTTCAGCTACTATTACAAAATTTATGAACTAAACAAAGATTTTCGGTGCTACACTGTCGCGTTAAAGCCATTTTAATGACGTTAAGACGAAGAAATTGATAAAACTTGGCTTTAAGAATGCACGTTAATACCTTGGTATTACTCATCGAACGGGTTGACTTAAGATTCTATCAATATTAAAAAGACTGTTCCACAAAAGGTGTCAAGCGTAATTTTAATCTTTTCATATGACTACATAGGGAACTATGTAGAAACGAGAGAGCACTGCTCAAATACACAGGCACGAAAGCAAAACCAAGTAGTTTCAAATATTTTACAGTACCGGTAGTCTTTCTCACCGAAAAATTCCCATCAGTTCGCTAAAATGCGACCGATGTGTAATCACTCGCACTTCTAATATCGCTTTCAACTACACTGGTCCGGGAAAATGTGTTTTGTTTCATAACAACAACATGGACCTACGCCAGTTATCAGCACCATTGAATAATAACAAGAAAGCAATACTCAAATATATGGATACGAAAGCCAAAACGAAATTTACGGTAAAAAAACTTCCGACTTTCGCGTAACACGAGATCCGATGATTCAGATTCAGATTCAGATATTTATTTCCGTCATGCATAAAATATTACATTATTAAAACAAAGAACACAAAAATAATTCTATTGGAAAAAAATAACACAATATTTCGATTGCAATTGACGAGGAGTCGCGAATAAACTATAAAGTCGTCGTGTCAGCGACACTGTAGCGAATGTGCATTGTGTAACTATGGATTATAATGTATTTAACCCTTTCATTTTAATACTGTGTTCCATTTCACTATGGATTATAATGTATTTAACCCTTTCATTTTAATAGTGTGTTCCATTTCACACAAGGTCATTTTGTTGTCGCAACACTGATTACTGATTACATGTACTGCCTTTCTCGTATCGACCAATTTGGTGACGTATCGTTCCGGCTTGCCGAGAGGGCTGCATAATATTGTGTTTAGATTCACTTCTGATTTACTGCGTTAATTGTGATGTGTTTAGATTCACTTCTGTTTTACTGCGTTAAGTGTGATGTGTTTTGATTCACTCCTGATTTACTGTGTTAAGAGTTAGGTGTGTTTCAATTTTATCTGTTTTCGAAATTTGGATTGTGCATCTTCCTATAATATACAACAACAATTAGCATCAACACTGTGTGCTTATTATCGTCTGAAGGAGTCCAGATTGGAGTCACATTCCATAACGCGTGTCAAAACAATAACGCGGGAATCGAACTTAAAAATATAGGGTGATAGTCTTTATCCCATCATCAGCATCTCATCTCTTTCTCCCTATAACACCAATGGAATTCGGTCACTTAAAATCATATAGAAGTATTGGTAAACTGCAACAGCAGTAAACAAAATCAACTTAATGGGATACTATTGAATTAAATCCTGGTAATTCAAAACCAATCTCATGTGAAACAAGAGAGCAGTGGTAAAATATATCGGCACGGAGGCCAAAACGAAGTAGTGTGGGTATGCAATCTATCACAGTGGACTACCGGTATTGCACTCTTCTTGATTTCGCCTGACCACCTGATTGTGAACGCGGAACCGCCACAAGATGCAAAATTTTGAATTTTAGTGACGTAATCGCACACAAAAGCAACTTTTTTTATAAAAACAAGAATAAAAATACAAAATGACAAAACGATCCATAGGTCCACTTTTGTGTGTAACAATGAACAGCATAAAAAAATTTTAGCAGGAATTTTCATGAAGAATATTGTAACCAGAGCAGAAATTTTCGTATCTCTATTAATATTAATAAAAGTTCGTTTTTGGGAAAAATATTACAGACAGGTATTTTCGTATGGAATTCTTTTCGTATGGAAATTTAGCTATTCTATTATTAGTCAAGGTTTTCCACTGAATTATTGTCATGGTCTTGTTTGAAATTGTGTGTTATGTAACTGTTTTCTATGACTGAATTTTATTAAAGTAAGCCCTTTAATACCAATCATTGGACAGAAACAAATTGGCTTAACATCCTATTTGAGTATTTGACATCTGTGATGGAAATCACCGTTGAAACACCTAATTACTACATTGATGAATAACTGCTGCTGTTGTCACTGGTCATTTAGTAATCGCCTTAAAGGTGGAAAATCTCACGGTTTCGTATTCATTAATATTCAAATACAAACAACAATAACAAGATAGCGATGCTCAAATATATGGACACGAAAGTCAAAACGACGTAGTACGTAGCAGATGCAATCTGTCACAGTAGTCGATCGATACCAACCGTCACGATGTCACAAAAACGCGTTCCCATGAACAAAAATAAAATTTAAGATGAGACATCAGATTTCATAAGAAATTTAGAAACAAATAAAGATAATAAATAGCCTTTTAGAAAAAAATACAGTCTTTCAAAGTAATTGGTCCTGTACTAAACGAGAAAAGCGATTTTTTCATACGGTAACAACAAGAATGATAACGAAAAAAGAGCAACAACATAATGACAAAACGTTCCATACGGATACTTCGAGATTAAAAAGGAAAATGTGCAATATGCTTAAATATTCAATTATTTTTACAGAATTCAGAACAGATTCTTTCCAAATGAGTCATACATATCTTTCTAAACGATTTATACTAGTGGTTCTCAACCCTTTTTTAGTGTCGGAGCCAAATTTTAAACCTTAAAGTTGTAAGGAGCCGCAAAAAAACAAAACTTAAGTATGTACAGTATTTTAAAATACCAACATCAACAAAACTCGTTGTAAAAACCCAAGTTCACGCTAAACTTGACATTGGCTTTTAATTCTGAAGTCTGAAAAATCGTGGCGCAATCGTGATGGATGCATTCTTCAGTAATATGTATAACAATAGCTAACTTCATATTTTCATGATGACATCTATTTTAGTTTGAAAATACCTCTCTTTCTAATCCCATTGTAACGCATGATTGTATTTATGAATAGTGTGAGTCTTTTTGAAAGTTTGATTGGCATTTTGTCTTGACAAACTAACAAATAAATATTTTATTCGAAAACTTTGCACAGTGTACGGCAGGGGCCGCAACCTACGGCCCGCGGAGTAAAATAATCCGGCCCGCGACGCTTCATAAAATTATAGCGACAAAATGGCTGTTTTCACGATTATATTCTTTACCTAAGTTTATTGTGAGACACGTGTAGACTAAATCATACTATAACCTAACAAGTTAGTGAACAGCTACTCGTATAGATAAGCTTACAATTTAATTAAAATCAGACAAATGGAAAAATCCCGAATAAAATATTCAATGCATTGAGGAAATAAAATCCATATTTTATTCGATAGACGTGTAACCGCTTGATTTTTATAAAAAGTATCTCTTGAAGGAAGTCTCTATCCAAATTTGAAAAACCATGCGAAAAAAATCACATTGATGTTTGGAGTACACATGTGTGCGAACAAATATTTTCGAAATTGAATTTTTTTATATTTTTTAGTAAGACGACCAAGTTGAGTTCACGAGTTGTGGCAGTCTTCTTAATTTCATGTAAACACTGTGATTCATCGGCCATCTGTTCGATTTTCAACTTTCTAAAAATATGTGTGGCCGCCAAGACTTGCAACGCTTAATTTTGGCCCGCGAGCGACAAAAGGTAGCCGACCCCTTGTGTACGAGGTAGCTTGATCGTAAATATTGGAAACAATAAAATCAGTGTATTAAAACGTAGGCTAAACATTGTGAGACAACACTATGACGTCATAATAAAAAGGTGCACTTGAAACGAACAAACATTTTTTTACGACTGGTTAGACCTTGACCAACCTTTATTTTTCGTGGTGACAGATCAAGCAAGAATTCAGAATATCGACAGCATTATTATGCTGATGTAGCAGAACAATTGATAATCTTACACGTCTCCTTCCTTATTTTATGAATTTTCATTTTTCAAAATGGACCAAAAAACTGCTGGATAAATGAAAGAAAACAGATTAACTTTAAACATTTATTTGCAAATTATTCTTGACTCTGAATTATCGCCATTGTTGTTAAAACGTTTATTCATTATTACAATATCGCTTTGAAGCGAACGATTTGTGCTTCATCAATATTCTATTGAAAATAAAGCAGAAATGTGACGAAGAATAAATACCGGTGCATAGCCGGTCGTGGCACTTTGTCAGAAGAGGATGGTGACGTGTACGGTCCGAAAACATAGCTGGATATGCTCAACCACCCCAGTTAAATTTGGCACAATCTCTAGTATAGTGTAAAAAAGTTGCATTGTACCCCATTACTGTATATATAAATATTTAACTGTGTTTGGTTGTTTCTGGATAGAGCTTCTATAACTTCTTAACAAGAAGACAGTAAAATACTTTGGGATTTTCATCAATTTCTATGAATATTTTATACCAACTCTTTTGTAACAGTACAAAACAATAACAGTAATTGAAAATATATTTCGAAAGTTGTTTTAAAAATAAAGAGACCAGTGACGGAGTATAAGATGTTGTTGTCATTACTGACTTCAATCGATATACAAAGCTTTTAGGTTTAACATTCGAGACTAAAAACCTAATCTCTAATCTACATTAATATTTTGATTCATTTCTGTTTTGAGAGTTATCGTCGAAATTATATAACAATGGAAAATACGACAACTAATTACATAAGAACAGCACATTGCGGATTTAAACATATGAATGCACCAAGAGTAACATCAGCAATATTGACAGCTGGTATTGTGGTTGAAAACAGTTTGCTTTTAATAGCTATAGTAACACACTGGAAGAAATTTCACTCAAATCTATACAGATTTGTTGCTTCACTTGTGTGTGCAGACTTGTTCTTTGGCTTGTCAAATTTTGCCGTTGTGGTAAGTTCTCAGTTTTTATCTTACCTTAGTAGAAGAGATGTTTGGTGGATGGCCCGCTATAATAACTCTAAAATACGCGCAGGGAAGTAAGGCAACGAATAGTCAATGATTGTGTTTGTTTGTTTTGCTAATAATGGATCTATGTCATCGGCTCTTTGACAAGCTATTCGGTACTCAAGAATTCGTGCTTATATTTTCAAATACTGTTTTCTTTTTATATTTTATTTTAGGGGCTCCCGAAGTATGCGAACCAAGATGGCGGACATCGGAATGTAATATGTGTACTAGGTTAGGGTTAGGCCATAATTTCAGGTATAAATACTACGGGATGCTCTTGGCTAGTCTTCGAACTGATAATAGGACTAAAATAAGGAAAATTGGAAAAAAATTATCGCCTAACCCTAACCTGTTACCCATGTTACGTTCCGATGTCCGCCATCTTGGTTCGCATACTTCGGGAGCACCTTATTTTATATATATTTATTTACAGATAATGCAAACTACAAATGCCGGATTAGATATTGTTTCAATGTTAAAAGCTGTTTCCTACGCATCATTTCTCGTGTGCATATTGAGGTATATACTTTTTACTGTTAACAATGAACAGCAAGTACTGAACTCAAATAACTTGGCTAGAAATATGAGTAAAGACTTGATACCAACCATGGCTTGAAATATGAATTGGTTTGGTTTACTCGAGTCACATAGGTCGAGCATGACTTCTGATTTGAGTATTCATAAATGACATGCGATATTAGTGTCGATCTATTTTGTTACTTAGATTTTCCTTATTTTTCATTATCATTAGGATATATAGGTAACTTAATCATTTAACGAACCGTGAATTATTGTCTGGCTAAAAATTCCTGTCGACCATAATAATAAAAGTCATTCGAGATGCATGACTTTTAATAGTGAATGAAAACAAAAACTATTCAGAGATTATGTAAAACTGACTGCTTCAACGAAGAGTTAAACAATATATTTGACAGTATTCATCCTCGCCCATTTCATTTTTTTTATTTAGAAAAGGCATAATCCTATGAATATATTCAGAACTCGATTTGCTGCAAAGTATACCTAACCATAACGTACGTACCAGCAGTCATCAAAATTTGATGGTGAAAAATTATAGTCATTTTTTATGACACTAAGACATAACTCATGATACGAATTGTAAAAAAAACTTGACTGATTTACTTATTATGTCATTCCATAGCATGACACTTCTAAATATTTCTGTCAAGTCAACGTATATAAGATCATGTGAGATAATGGCTCAAGCATATCCTGACCGATCTTGGACAGAAATTCTTACTCTCATTTCAAATTTTTTCAGGTAATTCAATTAGCTTGTAGCATTTCATGATTTGTTTTGTGAAGATTTATAGTTAATTTATATAGTTAATATAGCTAGTAGGAAACCTGTACTGAATTTAATTTTTAATTTTAAACAATTTTCTGACAAACTCTCTATTTCTGTTTACATGAAGAAGCATTTTGAAAATAACTTACCACTTTAATACTTAAATATCAAGTAGAGTTAATCAAATATTCAGCAGCAAAAAATAATTCTGATAGTTTGACAACTTTTCATATTTTATTCCGTATTTCATCAGACTATTTACAATTTCGAATAGCTCCGCAGACTATTTGAAAATTACTTCTGGTATGAACTATTTTTTTCATCTAATAACAATTTTATATATATGTAACCCAATCATGCCATTAGATTACTTTTCAATATTAACATTTTTTATTAAAATTTGTCTGAAATTTCTACAGAAAAACACATCAGGTTAAACGAATGATTATCAGTATTTGGTTACTTCTCCCTATTTTCACTTTGGTTGGTGTTATGACAAGATGCACAGAAGAAGAGCATGATTGCATGGACGGTTGTTCGACTATGGTGATTGATTCAAGTGGAGAAGAACAAAGATTATGCAAAATGTTAATTTGACCTTCCATGTTGGAAATATTTGAGTTATATTATATATATTTGACGCTATTCATTTCAAATTTATACAAACTTGACCAGTTTGAAAAAAATCTTGAAAATTGATAGTAGGATTATACAAAATATTTTAGGAATTTTTCATTTGAAAATACTTTAAGATTAGCTAAACCAGTAATGACTTCTAACTTCTTCGTGACATCAACAATATCCGAGCATGATGTGAAATTCAGATATGCGGGTGTTTACAAACATTCTGACTAAAAAGTCAAAAGTTTTTGGAGACAGGAGAATACTATTTTGAAAAGCCTGTCAGATGGAAAATTTAGTTGTACAAATACCTAATTTAATTTACAAAATTTATTTTAGCACTTCACATTGCTCGAGTTTTATGGCTCCATTATCGTTTCCTTTTCTCCTGCTCACGAACGCAACATCTTGGTGTGCACTTGGCATTTTGGTGGCTAGTACTATATATGTTGTATTTTTTAAAGTGATTATTACGCCAAAACCATCGATTGATCGGGGTTAGTGATTTTTTCTGTTTATTTAAATTTTTTTATCATTTTATAATTGACTACTTCTTCTTAACAATTAAATGGTGTCTTTAAAAATAAAGTAAAGAAAGTGGTAGTAAAGATAGATGTGCGCTGGTTGTTTAGAATGATAAGTGTTACTAGTCCTCAATGAATTGGGATGCTATTTTTATAACAGCAAAGCCACTTCCTGGCATCGAAATTACGACAACGGATGGATATAAAGAGAGAATCTCAGGAAAAAATTCTCCTGCGTTTGAACATACTTTAAAATATGAAGAAAGTGAAAATAATACATGGGCTGAATCGTCATTTGTTTCCAGACAACAATTTGGATTCAACAACGATTTCATTTCAAAATTCTCTCTTGCTGTTACCATCCTTCAGTTTACAATTTGGTCTATTCTCACTACGGTCACACTTCGATCATTTTTTGCACAAAAGCAGCTTCTGCCATATCTCTACGTGCAGATTTACACCGTGAGTTATGAGTGTATATTTAAATTTTTTTAGATAGTGAGTAATGCTAGGTTTGTGACTTCATCCCACATCCAAGGGAAGATATGTATGTTTGATGGTATTTATTTTCCGTATTTAACAAAAACAGATTTTTACAATTTGTCTAAAGTCATGAGGGAGATCATAAAATATGAATCAACTGGATTCTTGTCAATCAATCAAAAATCATTATGCTCCGGATTAATCGGAATCAAAATTGATCTTGATTTCTCTTGACATTAAGTCATTTATCGACATTATTCAATGTAAAAATTCGTTAAACTGTGCATCGTTGATGTGCGATATTAAGAACAACTATTTATAAATATTTTTGGATATTGCTGATATTTGGAATAAATGGCAAACAAAAATGACTTACTTCCAAAGCATTTTTCCAGAACATAATATTATATTTTGCCGATATAAGGCATTGTTACCGTGCACAGATGTAACGATGTCTTGTTTTTTAGAATATTTTTACACTTCCAAGTCTTGCTAATCCTTGGATATGCTTCTTTACAATGACCAAATTAAAAGATGCAGTCATAGCAACTTTTTTTAAACACAGGTAACTAAAACACTGTTAAATATTGTATATATATGTTGTGACTGATATAGTTGCATCCTAGTTGTTATAAGTCGCCAAGTCAAAATATTGATATGAAGTACGGGAGGTACAGCTTTGGTATGGAATATGGATGTTTCTGCACAAAGGACCGGGCGTATATAGTTTTCATGATAAAATGTTACAAGTACAATATATACTTGCAATATTTTAGGTTCCTTTAATATATTCGTGACAAATATTTGAAAAATAAATTACAGCTATACAAAGCTTTCATGCTATACATATTTATACTAGTTTTTAAAAATACATCATTACTAGGTATATATATATATAACATTGAATGTATATTGTTCAGATGCCGATTCAGGAAGCGACGCGTCACCAGTACAATGGCAATCCAAATCAATTCATCCAACACATAATGTGAATGTAGTTGTAATGAAAAAGCTTTGAGGAAAAATAGGGCTAATTCATCAGGCTTGCAACTTAAAATGAAGTAAATGTCATATGTTTTGATATCGTCTTTTTGCATTATTTTAGTATTTTGTAATACTCAAATTTATTGAAAATTAAAACAAAGTTTTGAAAGTTGTCGGTGATGATTTTGAGTTCAGCACTAGCATTATCACACACAATGATTATGATCCCAACCGACTTAATTTGTAGTACAGAGATATATTAGGACTTGAATTTTTTTTTTGTTAGTTTCTTCACAGAGAAACATCACTTGTAAACATTTAATGGGAAATGACAGGAAGCTTCAATTATTCGATTGGAACCTTTTTTTCACCACAAACAAAACAATCGTCTTACACCAGTTGTTTCAACAACACTAATTTTAGTCACACAATCCACTTCCTAGTTTGCTTTTAGTTGATCTATACACATTGAGGATACAAATCCCGGAACTCAAGCATTCCTGGCCGTATAGCAGTTTCTAACCAGACACCATTTTTTACATTTAAACCTGTTGCCCCTAAGCTAATTAAGTAATTGCTGTTTTTTTATACAAATTTTGAATCCAAAGTTCATAAAAAGACTGACGACGAGTGGTCAGTACGACTCATATCATAAAACAGTGGCCACTTTCAAGCAGGCCCAAACATTGTGATATTGACACTGACAAATTATATCTTCATCGTCAAAATTTAAAGCTCGAACAAGGTTTATGAAAATCCGTTTATAAACAAATCTATAAAATTGATGTTGAGGAATTACCAACACTTCAACTGTTTATAGGGTTTAGTGAGTGGCCCCTTTGGTTTCCACTCTTCCACTAATGCTGGCATTTAGGAGCTATTAACTATCCTCTCTGTCATCTGTGCACTACAAAACAAGATCACAGAAGTGTCCAACCAACAGTGCCATCTCTAAATTAGAGCAGTGGATACTGGAAGACAGTTATGCACGCACAGGCCGATACGACATCATAATTACCTGATATTCGATTAATTTCGTTGATCCATTGCCTGTTCATCAAATGCTTCACGATACCTACTTTAAACATATGCACAATGAAATATCCATGAGTTAGTAATATACAAAATAAATTATGAAAATATTTCAAAACTGAGTTTAAAAAAGTGTGAAGTACCGGAAGGGTCAGACGACAGACGTTTGTCGACTGATACTCCGTTCCAGTAGTCTGGCGGCGAGTGTTACGGATGAGTGAATAGACAATGAATTTTGTTAAGCGACGAATAGTTCCTTGGACAGAATACCTGTTTTATCTCTAAAAATGTTCTCCAGAACTGTCTTCTTTTTTATCAAAACTACTCAACAAATATTTATGTGAATTGTCCTTTCCAGGCCGCCAAAAATTGCCCACCGTTCTTTCTGATTTCAATAATGTGGTGATCGGAAAGATTCTGGTAGATATTGATTTGTTCATAGAGATCAGCAATCGTAGACCATCGTTAATCGTATTCGTGCTAATTGCAAACCATTCTAAAATCCGATACGAATTCCGATACGATTGTAAAAATCACGTCGATGAATCGCACTGTTATGTCCAATGAAGTCGTCAGTAAGTAGCGCATACAATAATACTTGTTAGATCTCATTTGACATTGTTACTTTCGAATCATTTCTCATCTGAGACTCGAACCTGTTTCTGAGCATAAACAGGTTTCTCGACTCCGGTTTCTTTTCGGGCGTAACATGAGCGATTCGGGGTTGCAAATATCTCAGACAGCCAGAATTCAATCAAGAATCTCAACTAAATCTGTGATGATTCCTTCAAAATCTTTTTCAATATCAATTTTAAATATTGTTCGGGTTTCACAGTTCAGTGAGTTTGTAGCCTATATATATATATATATATATATATGCTCATTGCACAGTTTCAGCATTTCAGTTACGTAAAATTAACCAAAAAGGTGACTTACCAGGTTACAATCTAATAAAAGTACCTTAATTGGCACTGTCTATAGATACCGTACTTAGAGTGAGCACCTAAATGCCTGTTTTCTGAACGCTACAAAATTTCTGATTAGGTCCTTTTACAGTATGCCTACAGAAGTTTATGCATCGTTTATATTGACTTGAATTAATCATTAGAAGTAATAATAAATCTCGACATTTTTCTTAAAACTAGATCATTCTAATGGGTCAATGTTGTTTACTTGAATGTACTAATGAATACATACTGTAATGTAGTTATAGTGAGCAATAGCCATGTCGTCATGTGGTTGCAATGAATACGATAATGCATTCTACGCGGAATGTGTAATTTTTCGAAATCGATTGTAATGAAAATTATAATCGGGGATGGCCAAAACGCAACAATCGAACATTCCGATTACATATTAAAAAATATTTTTGATTATTTTCCAAATTGGGTCGTGCACTATAGTAGTCCAGCAGATAAGGGGGAGGGACCTTTTTGGCCTAAGTTTGATTTCAGACATAAAGTTTTTTTTATTTGTGATTATTCATCTTGGGGTCATTGCCCATCATTTCTACATGGGTGTGGAGTTTGCAGCCTTGAGCAATTTTTGTTACGTCTCGATATTTGTATTAGTGTTTTTCGTCAAACCTGTGCATCATAATGACGCACAACCTGAACCATAACCTGTTACAATACTACATTCAGACTGTGCGCATTTTTGTTACACAAACTACACAAGCACCAAATTTACTAGGAAATAAAATCAATAACTTTTAGGTATTTATTGAGATATTTGTATTGGTGTTTTTCGTCAAACATGTGCATCATAATGACGCACAACCTGAACCATAACCTGTTACAATACTATGTTCAGGTTGTGCGCAATCTTGGTGCACAAACTACGCAAGCACCAAATTTACTAGGAAATAAAATCAATAACTTTTAGGTATTTGTTGAGCCCAGCTTTGGGTCGCGACCCATATACAGTATATTGAAATACTGTCGAAACATACGCGTAAAATAAAGAGCACTATTTCAAAATACCCATTTTTGTTGAAATTAACAATACAAGTCTGCTAATGCAGTCGCCAGTGGTTCAAGTTGATATACACCCGGTGGAGAACAGTCAATTATTTGTTAGCCAGAATTGTTATGCAGCGGGATGATCACGACGACGCAGTGAAAGATAATGATATCACGAGAAGAAGAATGAGAAAATTGCTACATTTTATAGTATATTCCTGGGAAAGAATGTAGTTCATTCTTATGTTCCATGCCAATGCCTTTCAAACTACCAAAGACTCTCAACACTTTTGCTTCTTCTCTTCTATAAAAAAACATTGTTATTATATATTCGCATTTCCATCTGTTTGTTCGTACTCCCAGATAACCGATCAGCGGCCTCCAAGGAGGACGCGGTCCCCTTTTAAGAAACCCTGTCATAAACTAAAAGAGGCGACCCTGCTTCTCTTGCCTGTTGCCATGCTGTCCCTGGAATTCAGCTACAACAAAAATTTCACGAAAACGGATTTTTAAATTTTATGATTTTATTTAAATATTCTCAACAATGAATGATATACGGGTGGTAAAATGCCAAGTTATTCCAACAACATGATCATGTTTTGCAATTTATCACCAAAATTTTGTATGTAACTTTGTTTGACAGAGCCCCAAGAGCTCTAACTACAAATATCAAAAATGTGAGGCCTAAAATTGTCAAATGTGCTGTATTTACGATAGATAACAGGTTTACCGAAAAATATTACATGAAAAATGGTAAAATAAAGATCAATTCAGCAATATCTACTTGGTGATATGCATCTGTTGATGATTTTATGTAATTGTTTCGGAAGTTTAATAATAGAATTATTTGTGGTTGTTGGGGATGTTTTAAAAACAGATTGCATGGAAAAAAGTTTTCACAAAATGTCAAGGTTTGATAGTAGTAGAGAAGTAGAAAAAATACTCCCATGTTTTTATTTTCATTTGATAACCACGCCACAGAACTTCCCCGATAAGTATACGCAGCAATTGCGAGAGGCAGAAATGCCAAGATGGGATTTCATCGCATTCCAAACCAATATTAGCAATTCTTATATATATTCGCGCATTCCCATCTGAACAGCGTGGAAAAGATTATACCCATCTACACACTTTGAGGACCAGGTAAGCATCATATTATCGAATATCAGTAAAGGAATAGTGCAATGGGAAAGACATATAAGGCGGAACTTTCAGTAGCAATCAAATAATCTTATTGTAGAATATATATTTAAAAACATTTCGTCACACCAACTGCAGTCCGAAACTTTTTGTCTCTGGCTGAGCTTATATACCAATTGGCACTCATGTAAACTGGTAAGACTGTAAGAGGCACGCGATGGAGCAGATACTAAGAGTATTCATTCCCCAGCTGTCATTTGAGTGGGTACTGCTGTTTTTATTGCAGATGTTACTGATCTTTTTGTATTAAAGATTTACTGGCATCACCGATTTAAGGATGTTGGAAACCAACACGCAATATTACAAAACTTACCTTCAACACGCGGTTTGAATGAATGAAAAAGCTGAAACTAGTATTCTTTAGAACAGCATGCAAATTCTATGGAATGAAATCATACACAAAAGCTCGTCAAAAACCTATAGCTCAATAATCAAGTGGAATTTGATGCATGTGCGCAAAAATGTGCGCGTTACTACGTACAACCGAAGCACGCAGAAAAATGTGTGTGATGTACTAGTATTCAAAACGTTTGACTCAACTATGTTGGCATAACAGGTGCACATCTCGGTTTCGCATACGTATACCTCCTATCTCCACAAGGAAATATTAATTTTGCCAAAGCCAATGCAGCACTGAAAGGTTGCGGATCTTCCAAAAGAAAACACGTTACACATCTTTAGATACCATGCAGTGGATGGTTTTACATGGCCTTGTTCGGAGTGAAAGACGAGGGAAAATATTCCAATCCAATTCAACTAATAAAATATTTCCTAAGCCCCTAGGCTTAAACTAGGAAAACGAAATGCGCGCGGCAACGCAAATGTAGTTTGAACAGCGCGATAGAAAGTGGCTAGATGCTGTCGATGGATCTTGGCTTGTATTAGTGAAATAAATTACCATTTATTCTACTAAAATTGAATTTCTGACATTGTAAGGAGATTCAATGTTACTATGTATGCAAAACTAAACCATGTA